AAGGGTTATGGTGCAGCAATAGTTAAAAAAGAGAGAGGGAACTACATAGACCATGATGCTTTACTCCATTTCAGTGCAGGAGTAACAGTTCTACGCACTTTTAAGTCTTAGTTGTTTGGATTAAGTCTTGTCAAGGCATTTTAAGAGGAAAAGTAGCATATTCAAAGTTTTACCTGTTTTGCCTTCACAAATTATCGCAATAAATATCATACCGTTAGATATATATCCTGAAAATATTGTACCAAAAGATTTAAATATTGTTACATCCCTAATCGTGAGCCTCTCCATCATATCGTGAGCTTTCCCACGATATCGCAATAAATACCGTACCGTGAGGTTCATACCGAGACGATATCGTATCGTGAGACTTGGATATCATTACACCCCAAATCCAAGATCATATTTGTTGTTGTTGAAATGTATTACGTGAACTTCAATCAATCAATCAATCAAACTTTATTTCTATAGCACCTTCCAACAACCAAAGCCGACCAAAGTGCTGTACAACATTAAAACAAGATAAAAAACAATAAACATCAGACAAATAGGTCAACAAAGCACTCCGTCAGGTTGAATTTCTAAACCAGGAACTACCAATATCTGGACTAGACCAGAGCCAAAGCAGGACTAAAACTGGACCATAATAAGTCTGCATCAAAACTTAACTGTCATCAAACTGCCAACTAACCTTTTAAAAGGATTTTTGTGGTTTTTGATATTTCGTTTCTCACAAACTTGTTCAAAAATTCAAATATTAGAAATAAACACAATATATATTCACAACTGACCAAATCCAGACGGAAATTGGGGCTAAACTAGGACTAAACCAGGTCTGGACTATTATCTGTTCCATTTTTAATGAGTTCTCAAAGCAATTTCACAACCCAAACCTTCAAACCTACAGAAAATCATTGACAAAGCACATTAGGACTTTGGACTGTTTCAGGTAGACCCTCCTCCGACACATTCAACACAGAAACAAGATCTGCAAGCCATCTCTCCTCCTCTGCCATTCTCTCTATCCTTGCTCTCTTTCTCTCCTCTCTCTTTCATCAGCCCTGCAGCGTAAACAAATAGCTGATGCAGAGAATGAGACACACGTATACCCAAACCACATGCGTTTAGATGGATGGAGGGAGGTGAAAAGAGAGGAGGGGAGCAGCCAGGCGGTGTGCCCGGGCTCGGCTCACCTCACCTGGGGGCGGTCTCGTCACATTAGCCCCCCGTCTCCGCTTTCATGGAGCTTAAAAAGATCAGGGTTACAATAGGTGAGGAGTTTAGACCGCTTTTGTTACCGTGGACAAGTGCAAGGAAAATAAGAATTTAGTTGTCAGTCTGGAAAATCTATGTTTAGAAGTGGAATAGCTAGTCTTAACTAAAGTGGTTGAATTTTCCAAGATGTCAGGATAGATTTGGAGGAGCAGACAAGAGCAGAGCGGCGTAAAGTTACCATTGTGAGCGTAAAACATATTGAGGTTTTTGAGTTTTAACCAGCTAATATCAATGGATTCGCAATTTACAGTGAGGTATGGGGCAGTGACTCTCAAAGAAAAGGAAAGATTAGACATTCCAAGTACTATCAGAGTTAAATCAAGTATAAAACAGAACTATTCCAGGTCTAATCTACAGTCTAAAAGTACATTATTTCCAATGAAGTTCTAAACAAGAAATGACCAAAAACGAGGCCAGACAAGTGGATAAAATGAACTCTAAATGAACTGGAGAGCTGTGCAAGTACCATCTAAAGAAGCTTGCATATCACAGTTTGAGAAACATTCGTATAGAGATTTTTAAACATTTTTTAAATGTGTGGACCAAGTTTGAATTAAATAAATATTACTTCATATTAAAAAAGCTCTCAAAGTACTTTCAGATAAGCAAGAAATGCATTTGTAGGTTGTTCACTTCAAGGAGAATTTGCAGAAATCTGAAGACCAAATTTGACAAAAGATAAAATAAAATGTTGAGATTTTTGAATAGCATGATATTTATTTTAATTAGATTTTAATTTGAACATGAAGACAAGATAAATACACAATTTAAGATATACCATTGCTCCTGTATGCTTCTCTAAACCATGTACATTAACACACCACTTTTATAACTTACTAAAACTGGAGTAGTTCAAAAGCTAAATTATATCTCAATTATATCTTAATATTGTTTTCTTTTCAAAATCACCACAATCAAATTTTTATCTCATTCATTTCCAAACGTTGAGGAATAGGGGACATGCATCGCCCTCCCTGCCCCCAGACAAGACGCTTCCTCCGTCTCCCGCACACACAAACACAGCTCCAGCGGAGGCCTTCACCACTAGAGGGCGCACCTTCATGCCCTATCAGCTCCTGGCACATACATACAAGGGACCTCATAATGCTCCCCACTGGCAATGAACACACCGTACAAAACAATACAAGCAAGTAAACATTTAGCACTGAATTTTCAACACAAATCATCACGAAAAGCACTTTTTTATGAATTTCAACTGCGCTTGAAACATATTGTTAATTTACAGCCTCGTATAGCTTCCCAGCCAGTGAATTTTGACACAGAAAACTGCATTTTTTGAAAAATGAAATGGTTCACACGTTTAAATTTTAAGATGTTATTTCATTTTCATTTTGTATTTGTTTCATTCATGAAAGCTGAATATAAAATAATTATGTTTCATATATCAATGTGTATGAAAAGGAGCAGAAAGAAGTACAGCCTTGTAATATCTTTCCTCTTTTCACAAAAAATCTAACATTTCTAACACCGGCAATGAATGCACTGAATAAAACAATACATGCAAGTAAACATTTGGCCATAACTTTTCAACACAAATCATCATAAAAAGCAAGTTTTTTATGAATTTCAACAGTACTTGAAACTATTGCTAAGTTACTGCCTTGTATAGATTATTTGCCAGTGAATTTTGACATAGAAAACTGTATTTGTTGAAAAATGAAATTGTTTACACGTTTAAATTTTAAGATGTTATTTCATTTTCATTTTTGTATTTGTTTCATTCATGAAAGTTGAATATAAAATAATTCTGTTTCAAACATCAATGTGTATGAAAAGGAGCAGAAAGAAGTATAGTCTTGTAATATCTTCCCTCTTTTCACAAAAAATCACTGGCAATGAATACAGTGTACAAAACAATACATGCAACTAAACATTTCGCAAAAAAATGTTCATCACAAATTTGAAAAGCACTTTTTTATGAATTTCCAACTGCACTTGAAATATATTGCAAAGTTACAGTCTTGTACAGCTTACTTGCCAGTGAATTTTGACATAGAAAACTGTTTTTTGCTGCTAATTTGAACTGAAATTGCTCACGTTTAAATTTTTTGACATTATTTCATTTTCATTCTTGCATTTGAATATAAAAGAATTATGTTTCATATCAATGTGAATGTTACGGAGCAGAAAGTAGAATAAACTTGTAATATCTGGACCCTTTTCACACCAAATCAAACATTTCTAAAACTTCGGTTCCAACTTAATGTATAATCTATAGCAGCTCCATTTATAACTTATTTAATGTGACATACACAATATTAAACGTCACTCATTTTCTTAATAAGGAACAAGTAAGTAATGTTTTATATCTGTGAAGTCATTAGAATTTTTGTTTTGACATCGTTGCACAAGAGTTAAAGTCTCATTCTTATGAACTTCTTCAAGAAAAATACTATTAACCTTAAGTTCTCCTCAGTTTCCAAAAATTTCAATTGTATGAAGAGAGATTTTGCATGAACATAACCAAACAAAACTTTCAAAAGCATCCACATTTGGCGTAAGTTCACTGGATTTCAAACTTAGTCATAATCGTCGCATTAAAGCGCGGTAGTCTTTATTGCCATAGTCATACGTACAGTAGATAAAGTCCATCCGCGGTGAGATAGCATTATGCATGGCTTTTAGTGCTGGGGTATCCATGTTGTAATTGCAGCCAGTGTTCCAGCCACAGAGCCCAGATCAGATAGCGACTAAAAAGGGACTCCGCGCATGAATGAATTTGTGAAAAAAAAAAGAGAAACTCACATCTGTCTCTCATTCACAATATTTTCGCAAGACTTTGGGAGACTACTAAAGGGACAGTTTGAGAAATGATGCAGTTATTTCTCAAGGCAAGTCAGTTCTAACAAGCTTGTCTTGGCTCGGACTAGGAACATGTTTAGGCAATTGTAGTTGAAGTCAGTGATTCCCAAGACGCGGAACCGGTACTGGTGAGACACAGAAGTCCTTTAGGAGTCCTTTAGTCCTGGTTTAGTCCTGGTTTAGTCCTAGGTAAGTTGTTCATTGTAGTCGGATTTATTTTGGGGTGTTTAGTACTAGTTTAGATGTGGCAAAGTCCTGAATTAGACCTGGTTAAGTCATGGTTTAGACTTGTTTGAGTCCTTGTTTAGACCTGATTTCCTTTGGCTAGATAGGTCTTGGATTAATCCCGGTTTAGTCCAGGGTTAGACCTGCTTTTGTCCCGGTTTAGATCTGGTTAAGCCCTGGCTCAGCTCAATTATCAACCGTGAGTAACTTGAGCAAGTCTAGCCTGATCAAGTTTCCTTCGGTTTAGAACTTTCATTCCTTTGGTTGAGTCCTCTTTTAGGCCTGGTTAAGTCCTGGTTTAGAATTAGTTAAGTCCTAGTTTAGATCAAGAACAGACCTTGAGTAATCTAGGAAAGTCTAGAGTTAATGGTACTCAAGTTTCCTTTGGGTATATCCTGGTTAAGTCCTGGTTAAGTCCTTGTTAAGTCCTGGTTTAGACCTGGTTAAGTCCTGGTTTAGAAGTTAAGTACTGGTTTGAAAAGCATTGAGTAACCAGTTTGCTTCGCATAATATAGTCCTCGTTTAGTCCTAATTTAGTCCTGGTTTAATCCTTTAAAGTCTAACAATGTCCAGACTTCACTTCGTACACTTTAAATTCACAACTCCAACTGACTTCCGACCCAAAACATCATGACGCCGTGCATTCTTAACAGACACTTCTACGTCTTAGTGAGCCTTACTTGCACTCGCGATCCTCCAGGTCGAAGTGGGGGTTGAAGTTGATGAGGATGCGCTGGTGGGGCCCCGGAGCCGTGATGACCCAGGTGCACCTCTGCGACGACGGGTACGAGCGGGGGTAGTCCGGAGACGTGAGGTAGCTAGCACTGGAGATACGGATGTTACCGCCACATTTGTCTAAGAACGGAGAGACGAGAGAGAAAGTTTTAGATACTTTCTTTTCATCAGTACAGAAAATAACTTGTGGTTTGTGTTAGAGTAGTTGAGAAGTATTTGGAAGCAACAGAAGACTACTTTTGGTTGACGTTTTCATAATTATAACAAACGATCTTCACCCATAAAGTGAATTACTTGGTACTTAAGCTATTTTCCCACTATAATTACGTAAATAATTGACAAAGTTCCATTATAGTGCCTTCTAAATCTCATACTCTTATCTTTATTTCTATATTTTTAGCAAACCAAGGAGCGGCAAACAGAAATAGTCATATATTTTGTGAATTTTAGCAGTTTCATTCATTTATAAATGCAAGTTTCCAACGTAAGTCACATAATCAAACTTGACACTGTAAAAACGAAACACTGAAACATTTAAATTAGCTTTTTGCGTACTCTTTAGTGTTAGGTAACAGTAGAATTTGCATGATTTTGATTTTAAACAGCAAATTCACATCTTAAAAAGGTGACTAAGTGATCAAATATTAACCAACTTTCAGACAAACAAACAAAAGTTGACTTAAGTAGAATATACGACAGGAAAAAGAGTTGAATTTTCTATCTTGTGAATAAATAAATGCATTTTTATGATTCAGTTCAACTATAGTGTGTCGTAGTCTATAAATGTAGTGTAGAAAAGAAATGTATTAATGTATCAACAACAAACTGGTCTAGAATTATCGCAAATGTCTTGAAATACTTGAAAAACGTGTACGCGTATGGAAAAAGAGAGGGCATTTTTACAAGATGTTGAGGGTTTAAACTCACGAAATCATGTTTTATAGGGACTAGCCGTTAGAACTTGTAGCTGTTGTGCGACCAAACTATAAATTATGTCTCCTACCAGTGGAATTGAGGCTTGTTAAACGGCTACGCGTAGGTTTGTGGTTGCAATTATGAACAAAAAAGTACCATAATTTCTTCCACAAACAACTTTAGGTCCTGTCTTATTCTGCGTAAAACTGTAGTTTAGATGTGTACAAATAAGTTCGGAAATGTGATTCTTGTGTTAGTCAGTCCATATTTCAGTCTTCTCATTTCTTTTGGTCAACTTTGAACAGAATCCTTGCACTATAACAAACCGCAAATCGAATAGCAATCACTATACGCCCGTTATTGGAAAAAAAAATCGCAATTGTCGCATTTTTTTCCAGATCGTTCAGTCTTAAAAGTTCTATCTGCATTTTTTTAACCACAATGCATTGCTCCAGCGCCTCTCTCGCGTTTATCTTCATTTAAGCATGTATTTTACCTCGCCATCTGCCGCGCTGCACCTACTGACACCTCTCGTTAAAATCCATTAGGGCGCAACAAATCCTGCTGTAGCGAAGCAAGCGGTATGCACAGGGAAACGAGAGCAGCGCTCGTTCGGAGTGGAGGAAGTTGATGACTTTTTGAACTAACTTCGAAAACGCAAAGAGAAGCGGTGCGTAAAAGTTCGGTTTCCAACTCTATTAAGGACATTATAAAATCATTTTGGACATTCATTTTAAGGCAAACTATTTGTTTTTCAGTTAATTTACTCTCATAAACTTTGACTTGGACACAACATCATCAAATTTGTACTAACATATGTTTTATTCTTTCATTTAATCAACAAAAGCCATTTTCTCATCACGCGGTTTTTTTTTTGTTTTTTTTTTTCTCAATGACGTTAAAGTAGCACCATACATAAACAAAACTTCTTAAACTTCTAACTTTTTACAATTTTGACGAATTTTACAGGATTTCTTTATATCTTTTATAATGTGTTTAAGCCATTTTCCCATCACGCGTTTTTTTTTTTCCCCTCAGTGACGTTAAAGTAGCACCTACATAAATAAAACTTCTTAAACTTTTAACTTTTTACGATTCTGACGAATTTTACAGGATTTCTTTATATCGTTTTATAACATGTTTTAACCCTGATTTATTAAAGTTTAACTTCAAAAGTGTTGAAATTTCAATTCGCACGCCGGGGTTCAGTTCAACCGAGTTTACGCTACATAAGAGAACTACAGAAAAGGTTTCATATCGATGTAACTCTCTAAAATTAGACTTATTCCGTGTTTTAACCTGCTGTATCTCACCTTAAAAAGGCTACAGTTGCAGGTTAAGAAACTGACATGCAAAGGTTAACAAACTACTATGTATAGATGGTGTTTTACGTGCCAGAAACGCGTTAAAATGTTCGGTATTCTAGTTGTAAATAAATCCGCGTTCCTCTACGTCTTCGCATACAAAGGGCAGGTGAACGGTTGCCACTTTGCCCTCTTCCTGCGCTGCACACGTACACGTCTAATCTCTAAAGAAAATAGAGGGATTAAACCGATTTAGGAGTGTTTTTGCAAGCGTAATTCTAGATATGTTTATCGCTGGAAGTTATTTCAACACTTACCGTTTTTGAACGCCTTCGCCGCCAAGAGTATCCCCATCAAAAGGAACAAAACTAATCCACAATGCATTCTTGAATCGTGTTTCCAAAAAAAAGTTATTAAAAAAAAAAAAATCCACGTGTAAACTCCTTTATTCTAAACTTTGTGGGTTGTTGACGTTTCGCGGAGGAGCGTGAAACTAGCTGGCATGCTAACCGTTCACTCCTCGGCTTCTTTACGCATCTGGGCTCCGGTTCCTGGGTCCATACTCGGTGCCATACATCTTCCACAAAGAAAACCAAAAGTGGATTTAAGTTTATAGTCCTTTTAGATCCTGAAAATTCCGCCAGAGAATGAAGTTAATCCCGTATCTGTGAATAAAAAGACAACAGGTTAAAGATGTATCGTGACGTTTTGGGGTGTTTTTTTTTTTTTGTTTTTTTTTTGGAGTATTGGCTACCAGCGCTCTTCGTGGTTGCTGTTCTATCCAACTACTGTGCAGAGCGACGGTTTAAGACGAAGTGGCATACCTCTCTCACTTCTACTCACCCCTCCGCCAATCTCCCCTCCCTCCCCTCCCTCCCTCTTTCCTTCCAATTCTCTGCCTCTCATACATCTCATTCTGTTCTTTCTTTCTCGCAAAATATTTCACCACAACAACATTTGATTTTAAGTGCGTTCGGGATTACAGTAATGACTAAATGGCAGCTTTGTATCGCGCTGTTTTCGAGTAGGCATTGTCAATTTGATCCAGTGCGTAACGAACGTAAACAAACCATGAATGGAGAGTGCTTTTCGAGAATACCTGCGTAGAAAATTGGTTTACACTGACGATTTTCTCACAGAAAACTAAATTGCGAGAAATTAGAAGCGTTGGCGTGGAAATTTAAACGAAAATAGTGCGTGTTTTGAGTGGGAAAAGTCCAAAAAATGTCGAAAATGAACCATATTTGCAACTATAATATATTCATTCAACACTAAAATGGAACAAAACAAAAAAACAACACGCTTTGTACACTAATGTAGCTAAAACCAAAATGTGGCGTTGTGTTTACGATGTTTCCATAAACGTTTAACGCGCCAAGTAGCCTATATTTTACGTTATTAGACCGTTGTTTCGAAACTAGAACAGTTAATAATAGGCTAATATGTGGCACACTTGGTTATATAGGCCTCCTCGCGTCTCGCTCCACATCTCCATTACGCGTTATGAGTGTCATATCCACACGGAGCAGTTCATAAAAAGGCCCCGGCCCCGGCGTCTTCTCCCCTGAGCTAAATAATACAAGTCCTGCTCTCTCGGTCACTCCTTTACGCACCAGTGGCTTCCCAACAGATGCGCTATTTCCCCCCAGTATCCACACGAGCTATGCCCCGGCAACAGTGGCACCGTAAAACGCAGACGGGAGCGCACGGAATTTACGTGAAATCAATTAAAAACGTAAATTAGAAAGCGCACGGTTCGTTTGCGTAAAGGTCGGAACTGATAACGGGTTACGCAAGGAGAAAGCAAAGAAACATATTGACGTGCGGCGCGTTTAAGTCTATTTGATCACAGTGAAGAGTGCGTTTTGATCATGACTTGAATGGGGGAGACAAAAGGTTGAGGTGCCATCTGTCAAAAGCGGGTAAAAAAAATGATCCGTGTTCAGAAAAACGTATCGGAATTTTACGGAAAAGCGAAATTTGTGGAGTAAAAATTCACCTGCGTCTTCAAGGAACCCTCCTGGTCCACTCCACGGTCCACTCCAACCATGCGTGGAGGGAGAGAGGTAGATTCCGAGCGACTTTTGCGTAAAATATGTCCCAAGTGCGTTAAGTCCAAGGGAGACAATGTAAACAAATCGCCTCCTTTCGTTTTGGAGGCGATTCTGAACAACCGCGGTGCAATGCCCGGCTTCCCCCCCGCGCAAAGACGCACCGCTGCCGGCTGCACTGTCGCTCTCCTCTCCCCTAGACCTCCAGACTCCGCTCCTTTCTCCCAGTTCTCACAGTTAAATCCTTGTATTTCTGTGAGAAATGCGGATCCTCAACGGCGAGCGCAGTTCCAAAACAACGTCAAAAATCAAAAAAAAGAAAAGCGTAAACAAAAAGTCCCCCGGTGTGATTTTCATACAAGTTGTAGGATAGATTCCCTTCCCCGTGTCCGCTCTCTCGGCTCGCTCCTCGCTGACTGACTTGACTGCCGCTGCTCCGGCTTTGGAGTCGCTGCCAGCCACACACGCCCCTTTACGAGGCTGCTGGAGTAGAGGAGAGAGCGCGTGAGAGGGAGAGGAGGGAGAGGAGGAAGAGGAGGGAGGGTTAGGGGGGGTGCGCGTGCGTGTGAGTGTGCGTGCGCGTGTGTGTGTGTGTGTGAGAGGCACAGGGAGAGAGAGAGAGGCGGTGGGGTTGTCTGTGAGCGAAAGGGAGATGGGAGATTTGAGCCAGCTGCCCGCGCTCTCACCGTGCGCACTGTGCGGTGGGAGCCTTTATTGGATGCGTTTTTTGGAGAACGGTGCCATTATTCGGCTCCCTGGCTTTTACGCGCGACTGGAAAGATACATTTGTTATTTATGGTAATCGTAAAAAATCGTAAAATATTAGGTCCCCATTGTGATATCTGTAGAACACTTGTAGATCGTTGCTATTTTGGATGACTCTTTCGCGAGTTACATTTTGGCTATTGCGCTCTGATAAGAAGCTCGTAAGTGGCTAAGGATTGTGATTACGATTAAGAAATATTTTTACCACATAATCGGCATATTTCTTTTAAAAAATCGAAAATACATTTAGAATAAGTAATCCTTAAAGACGCTGAACTCGAAAAACAGAAATCGAAAACCAAATTCAAACATATTACGGCTTTACGTTTCGCATTCCAGGCGTAGTAATTATTCATCATGATGAGTTTATAAGAGCTGTGACGGTAAAGCTAACAACAATTAGCATGCTAACACAACTGAGAAGAAATAATGCTTAAAGACGCTGTACCGTGTCGTGAAACTTGGGGGAAAAAAAACTCAAAAATCTATTTCAAACATATTACAGCTTTAACTTTCACATTCCGAGCATTCCAAACATCCTAATTATTCACCGTGATGAGTTTATAAGAGCTGCGACAGTAAAGCTAACAATAACTAGCATGCTAACACAATAAAAAATAAGTAATCCTTAAAGACGCTGTACCGTGTCTTAAAACTCAAAAAAACAGAACTAAAAAATCAAATGCAAACATATTACGGTTTTACCTTACGCATTCCGAGCATTCCGAACATTCCGAACATCCTAATTTTTCACCGTGATGAATTTATAAGTGCCATGACGGTAAAAGCCGTGATGGTAGAGCTAACGATAACTAGTATGCTAACACAATTGAGAAGATGTAATCCTTAAAAGACGCTGTACCTTGTCTTAAAACTTGAAAAACATAATTCAGAAATCTAATTCAAATGTATTACAGCTTTACCGTACGCATTCTGAGCATCCGGATGATTTACCGTGATGAGTTTGTAAGTGCCATGACGGTAAAGCTAACAATAACTAGCATGCTAACACAATAAAAAAGAAATAATCCTTAAAGATGCTGTACCGTGTCGTAAAACTCAAAAAAAAATAAAAAAAATTCTAACATATCAAACATATTACGGCTTTAACTTTCACATTCCAAGCATTCTGAACATCCTAATTATTCACCTTGATGAGTTTATAAGAGCTGTGACAGTAAAAGCTAACAATAACTAGCATGCTAACACAATAAAAAAGAAGTAATCCTTAAAGATGTTGTACCGTGTCTTAAAACTTGAAAAAAACAGAACTCAAAAATGAAGTTCAAACGTGTTACGGCTTCACGTTGCGCATTCCAAGCATCCTGATTATTCACCGTGATGAGTTTATAAGAGCTGTGACGGTAAAAGCTAACAATAACTAGCATGCTAACACAATTGAGAAGAAGTCATCCTTAAAGACGCTGTAGCGTGTCTTAAAATTCGAAAAACAAAAATCTAATTCAAACGTGTTACGGCCTTACCTTACGCATTCCGAGCATTGTAATACTTCACTGTGATGAGTTTTTAAGAGTCGTGATGGTAAAAGCTAACGATAACTAGCATGCTAACACAATCGAGAAGAACTAATCCTTAAAATCGCTGTATTGTCTTAAAATTTGAAAAAACAAAAATCAAATTCAAACGTATTCCGAGCATCCTTATTATTCACTGCGATAAGTTTATAGGAGCCGTGAGGGTAAAGCTAACTAGCATGCTAACACACACTTCCTCTTTATAATTACACGCAGACAGAAAACAGCAGACTTATTTTGACTTCAATATATCAATACTGGGGCAAGTCTTGAGAATGTTCCGCCGTATGATGTCGAGCTTATGTATGTCCACGAAGATGAGCATTTTTTACGTCACCAGGTTGAGTTACGGGTCAGATCTGCAAAGAGGCGTCAACGCTAGCAGTAAGAATTAATGTCGTTCAAGTGATTTGCAAGCGATAAACACAGCCGTACTTAGATAAACGGCAACCAGCTCCGTTTAATGCTGTACTGTGGAATAACATTTTGATGGAGACAGAAAAGTTACGCTTCATTTTATAACAAAACAAAATAATGAATGTGAAATATCAATGCGAGCCAGTACACAACATGTCCTTTTTAATAATGGATGGTGGACATAACAAAGCATGTGGTTGTTGGCGTAGGCGTCCCTGAGTCTGTGTCACCTACTGCTGCTGCACACCCCAAAGTCTCCTCTATATTTAATGAGAACATATGTCTGAACACGACGTACCGACAGTGACCTGCAGAGGGCGAGACGTGCGGCCGTCCCTCAGGTGAAGGTCGAAACACAAATTCTGAATATGTGCTTTTGGAACATTTAAGGAGAGATGAAATGTTTTGAAAGAAAGAGGAACTTTTAAGGAGGAGGGTTGGCTACTTACTTGTTCGTCTCCATGGAGATGTTATTTCTTTGTTATTTTCTTCCACAATATGGCATTAAACTTATATCGCTTGCATGTATTCAGTTACAGGTGTTTTATAGCTCAAAAATTCCTTGAAAAACATGAAGTCTTACTATGCGCAGACTTGTTTCTCCATGGATCTGACCAGTAACTTCTCCATTCTCCATTGTGATAACCATGTTTTTTTCCACTGTAGAATATTCCAGGCAAAGCAATCACATCTTCATGGCGACAAGTAGGTGGCGCACCCTCCTCCCTCCACCAGAAAAGTTACACAAAAGTGCACTTTTAAGGTACATTTTATTAGGCAGGTTGGCTTCACCTCGTGCCTCCGCTCTCCGCTCTCCAGCGACTAGGTCAGGAATTGGAATACAGACGGTTTGTAGAGTTGTAGACCGAGCACCAGCCAATCAGAAAAGAGCTGTGAAGCCATGACATCAAACTCGTCGCACCTGTCTGGGTTCTTTTTGTGGAACAGCACAACAGTAAACAAAGCGGTCAAGATGGATGTAGAAGAAGACAGACATTCTGTGTTGCAACGATTCTCAAGATCGAGGATTTAAAGCCGAAACAAAGAGAATGTTTGGTGAATTTTATCAAGGGGAAAGACGCTATTGCTCTTCTTCCTAAAGGATTTGGTGCATTACATATGTCACGACCAAATAGCACTGGTTAAATAAAAAAAGTACCCGCCTACCGTCAAGCGAACGAATCCTAATGCTGTGAGGTCAGACGGTTTCCATGAACTGAAACCAGCTGATGAATCAGGCTAACATTTTATTGAACCCATTGTGAAATTTGACCCATACTTCAAGACCGCTGCGGCAACTTGTCACGCTTTTGGATCTTTTATTGTATTGTATTTATTTTACTTATTTATTGCTATTTTGTGATTTTTATTGTTTTGCTTTTACTTGATTTTTACTGGTTTTATTGATTTAGGACCAGTATGATCAAATTTGTAACAATTTACCTTTTTGTTGTCTTTATTTTCCGATCTCTGTGCAGGACTTTGGAAACTGCTTTGTTTGTAACATGCTATCGAAAGAAAGTGGATTTGGATTTTGGCTTTGAATTTGACAGTAGACCATGTCACAATAATGAATTTCAATATGTGATCTATTGCTTAAGAAAATACTGATGATACCGATAATACTTGTGTGTGTGGGAGAGTGTAAAAGCTCGCACTTACCTATGACTCAGTTTGGTTGAAGGTCAGGGGCGTGTAGTCGTAATTTTTGTTGACAGCCGCTACTTATCTGTTCTTAACTTTAGTATTTCCAACTGGTCCCATCCTTTGTCTGTTAATAAATGTCCAGCACGAGCGAAACTACGACCCCACGACCTGCTCTGATCTTCCCGAACGCCTGTCACGTTGGTTCAGGAATCCGCAATAATACTGAAACCATTTTACGCCCTGACATAAAAACACAAGAGCTCATATAAACCGCAAAATATCCAAAATCTACAATATTGTTACAAAATAATGAGCTGCAATAAATGAAAAGCAGATTGAAACACTTGAGGAGTTAGTTTGCATCTGTAATGAGTCACAGAAGTTATTTATGCATCCTTTACGGCTTGAATTTTATTGTATAAAAATAAAATAACCACAAATTTCCCAGTAGTGCAAAGAAAAACTACTCCAAAATATATATTGTTTCTGCTTTCATATAAGCTATAAATGGTTATAGTGTTTATCGTGGCAGGTCTAGTTGCCAGGCGAAACTGGAGTACCGTGAAGAAACCGGCACAGACGCAGTGAGAACATGCAAACTCCACACGGAAAGGTCCGGGTGGCTTGGGAGTTGAAAACCGAACCTTTTTGCAGTGAGGCGAGAGTGATTTCAGCTCTGGAATGACCAATTTCTACTGAGCTAAAGGTAAAATTTGAAAACTAAAAGCTTCGCAAGGTAAAAATACAAAAATAGCTCTCTTTACTAAATTAGCAGTGTGTACAATCGTCCCTCACTATATCGCAGTTCACCTTTTGCGGCCTCGCTGTTTCGCAGATTTTTTTGTGAAATTTTGCATGCTTTTTTTTTTTACAGCGTAAGAAGGCGCATTGTGTTCCTCCCCCTGTGTCCTGATTGGCTAAGGGACTGTAGACCATTGTCAGTCAGTCTCCTCCGTGCCGTGTCTCCTGTACAGTACAGAATACGTTCAGCTGCCAAATTTACATAAATGTTCAATGTCTAGCGGTGTGATTCTTGAAATGCAGCGCGATCGAGCAATTGC